AACATCATATTAAAATCACTTTCTATTAAAAATCACTTTCTCTAGGGGATATGTTAATAAGTGGTGGAATTCACAAACACTGAACAGTACAGAAAATAGAGAAGTACACAGCTAACAGAACACGGAACTGGAGAACAAGTTCAATAACAAAACAACAGAACAAAACTCAATAGTTGACTTTTATACATGAAAGTTCGACACAATTGTACAATCACGAGAAAGTTGACCTTCTAATTTTAAAGCTTCACTTGAGATTTCTCCCTGTATAAAGTGAATCAGGAGGTGAGGACAATTTATTTCTTTAATGAAATAAATATTGGTACTAATCCTAATCTGTCTAATATCAATATGTGGTTTACACATACTATGGTACTCATATAATTTCATGATATACATATATATATATGATATACTATATATATTCTATATATGATATATATGATATACTATATATATGATATATATACTCATATAATTTCATGATATATATATATATACACACACCTGTACATCTCAGTGATTGTTAGAATATTAACTGTCAAGTACTTTTTCATTGTTTCTATGAAACCTACACCACACCTGTGTATAAAGTTAATGACCTTAGCATCAGTCCCATTGTGTGAAGATGGACAGATTTGGGTAAGAGTGTGCACTTGAATGACACGTGTAGTGGTTGACCTTCCACTTCTGAAGGCTTTGTGACATTCTTAGCCTTCTCAGTTAAAAAAAAAAAAAAACTATTAAAAAGATGCTTTGTTAAGTAACACAATTTACGTTATGCCATTTTTAGGATATGAATCTTTGTTTCAGTATTTCTGAAAACTTGTAAGAATATGTTTACTTGCTTAGGGTTCAGAATCTAGGAAATTTACATAAATATCCCTTCACTAATGAAAACATTCGTGTTTCTTCTTGCAAAGCCTGTTTTCCCTGTGACCTGACACGACAATGTCAGGTCTCAAACTTTACTATCCCTGCATCCTCTGATCTCTCAGCACTGAAGATAAATAAGCACTTTTCCTGACTTTTTGTATTTTGACTCATTAAATGTCTAGGGTTATGGTTTCCAGGGAAATGAAGCAGTATCGTCTGTGCCTGAGATATAATAGAAATTTAACAAATGTTTGTGCTTATTGGGAATGATGAGGATCCTAAAGGGAAATCTATACATTTTCTCTAAGATGATCAGGAGGAATCAGAACAATGATTTATCAAACAGAAATCTAGTCAACCTGCCAAGGGATGCATTTGCCCCACATTCTGCTTATTTTAAAGTTAATTCTTAACTTGCAAACATTCCGGTTGTGAGTCAACAGAGACCATATTTCAAATAAAGAAGAAGATATTGATTTAAAAACCCGGAGAACATTTCTTTTGTATCTGCTCACCAGCTCTTAGCAGATTCCAGGATTAAACTCAGCCTGCCCTTCACCTTTGTCATCAGGAACCATAACACATTGGGCTCTGGAGACAGAGAGCGCCTACACATTTCACAGAAACCCAACAGAAAACACTCATCCCAACCTGTGTGTTCATCTAGTGATTAGCAAATGAGCTGAAGCCCCTTTTGTGACCCTTATGGAATAACTCCTAATAGTACCATCTTGGAGAAGGAAATGGCAACCCACTCCAGAGTTCATGCCTGGAGAATCCCGGGGACGGGGGAGCCCGGTCGGCTGCCGTCTATGGGGTTGCACAGAGTCGGACACGACTGAAGCGACTCAGCAGCAGCAGCAGCATTACCATCTTATGTTGCTGTTTCGTTGTTAAGTCGTGTCCGACTCTTGCAACCCCATGGACTGTAACCTGCCAGGCTCCTCTGTCCACAGGATTTCCCAGGCAAGATTGCTGGAGTGGGTTGTCATTTCCTTCTCCAGGGGATCTTCCTGAACCTGGGATTGAACTCGCGTCTCCTGCATTGGCAGGCAGATTCTTTACCACTGAGTCACCTGGGAAGCCTGTGCCATCTTAACACAGGATGAGAAACAGTCCCTAGCTGTCAATTAAAAATGCATTTAGAAAGCTGTCTCTACTATTTTTTGTTTATCCTTAAGTTGTCTTGCCAAAGTTGAGCTTCTAAGAAACCAAAAACTTTTAGTATGTGATTTTAACACACATTTTCTTTTCTTTTTGAAATAACATGTACAGAATAGGGCTCATCAGATTTGAAAAAATAGCCTCAGCAGAGAAGAAGGAAATGAAAAAGCCATATAATCACACTACAGGATACTGACTTCCAAGTTTATTATTTGATACCAGGCCATCTCTTGATGTGTTTCACTTATTCTACTTAACCATGTTCTGCTCAAAAATGTCTTAACAGTAAACCTTCAGAACACTTTTCAGGTGTTAAAACTATATGACTTATGTCTCAAAATGTTCTGACTACAACGAGCCTTGAAAACACACATGTAGCTCATTCTAAAAGGAAAGTCACACAATTATAGTATAAGAAAGAGCTTTTTTAAAAAAAAATCAGGAAGTACTTTAGCTACATGCTAATGATTCTTTGCTACTTTCTGAAGGAATAGAAACTTTTAAGCAAGAGTTTGCAGAAGAAAGTTTCATCTAGCAATAACATGTATCTTACTGAGAAATAAGAGTTGACAAAAGGCGTCCCTGTTTATAAAGACTTCAGTTTTGATAGGATTACATTGACTCCCATTAAGCACTTGACCCAATTTGGTAAAGCAACAGAGACATTTCCTACCATAAAATAGAAGAAATTAGATATCAGGATTATATAAGACAATGAGACATAGCTGAAAAGAATCAAGATGATTTGTCTTTCTCCCAACAAATAGTTTCTATATCTGCTGGTGTACTGTATCTCAAATATTAGAAGCCCATTAAGTCACTAATTTGCCTTGTATACAAATTTTAAGATATGCCTTGCTAAGAAGCAAGGAGCATGAAGCATTGTTGGAACAGGAAAATAAGATACTTTGCATATTTTCAATAACTTTTTTCATAAAGTCTCAAAAACCCTAATATTACCTCTAAATAGATAGCTAGACTATTTTTTAAGTTTAAAGGGCATTCTAGAATAAAAAGTATTTTTTATATTGTAATATGTTCACTTTGTAACATTGGAGAAATAGTATCACATTGCGGCCAAATGTTCCTCTAATTATGTTTTATAAGAATCTTTAGTAAATGTTGAAATGTATGTCAGAAACAGACAGCCAGTATATTGTCTTTGGAATAGGTCAGTATGCTCTTTGAATGGCAGAGATAAGTTGTTTAGTGCAATATGACTGCATAATGCAAACCGTTTTCACTGACTTGAGTTCAGCTAATCTGGGATTTCTGTCAACATATTTTTAGCTATTTTGATGAAATCATATGATCATTTAGTAATTCCAGTCAAAAATTACAAGTCAACTGCTTATAGATCAACTTTTCTAGGTCTTTCTGTTGAACTGAATTAGAACTGGTTTCAAGTTTTAAAGATTTTTACTTATGTTGCTAATTCATTAAAGTATGCACATAACATTGATTATATATTTATTTATATACTTTACAATTCAGCATGTATAGCTTAAGGAGTGTGTAACATTTAGAATTATTATTTTCCACATCTTAATAATGTTCTAGAATAGCATTATACCACACTGGAAATACTTTTATGAATGATTTTAGAACATTATATTTTTACTAAAGTAAGTAAAAATAAAAGTGCCATATGATCCAGCACTCCTACACCTAGGCGTATATCCACATAAAATGAAACCAATACTGTATTGGACAGTGGGGTTCAGTTCCTTGCCATTCAAAAGTCTATAGAGAGGCAAGTCTGGTGGATAGGAAAGTTGGCAAGTTTGCTTTATTTTGGACGCTGGCAACTGGAGGGTGGGGGTAGGGTGGACTCCCGCCCAAAGGCCCACTCCCGCTCCGCTGACAGTCGGGGCTAGGAGGGGAGCTACATGTGGTAACAGCACCGTCAGCCCTGACAGTCATCCTGGAATTGGTCACGCGGTGGTCTGGCCTGCAGCATCTTGATTGCTTTAAGTACAGCTCCTCTCCAGTCCCAGGGTCAGTTTGTTCTGGATCTTTGAGGCCAGGTCTCGGGACTGCGGCAGCCTATGTCCTGGCCACATTCAGGTCATCAGGCCGTTAACGTCCTCCCCCGGTGGGGTTTTAGTGCCTACAGGTCAGCTCACAGGAGCTGGCTCAGAATGTGGTCTATGTCCCACGAAGAGGAACTAAGGGTCCTTGACTATGCTCAATGATGAAACCTTTATTATTTGGTCTCCTTTGACTGTTTTCCTTCATTTCTGTGTTTTCTCACTTCTCTGATTATTTTTTGCCTGAAGTTTTTCTACAGACAAAGGCAGGCTGAAGACTGGGGTAGGACCATAGCATCCTGCTCCATTTCAGGTTCTGTCAGCACCCTGCGTTCACGCAGCATCACTCACAGCAGCCAACATAGGGAAACAACATACGTGTCCTTCAACAGATGACTGGATAAAGAAAATGCAGTATTTATACTCACGGGAATATCGCCCAGCCATAAAAAGAAAGAAATACTGTCACTTGTGACAAAATGGATGAATCTGGAGGACTTCATGCTAAAGGGAAATTAAGTCAGACAGAGAAAGGCAAAACTATACAATATACGTGGAATCTTAAAAATCCAGCAACAAAACAAAACTGATTTTATAGAAACAGAGAACAGAATGGTAGTTGTCAGGGGCTGGGGGGAGGGGGAAATGAGCTGATATAGGTCAAAGGGCACACATTTTCAGTTATAAGATGAGTAGGTTTAGAGCATAAAATTATATCATGGTGACTCTAGTTAACAATATGGTATTGTATACTTAAAAATTCCTGAAAATAGATATTAAGCCTTCTCATCACATAAATGACAGAGGAATCTATGTTAATTATGGGAAGTGATGGATCTATTATTTTCATCGTGGTCATCAGTCCTGAATGTATACACATATGCAATCATCTCTTTAAATATGTACAATTATATTTGTCAATTTTTCCTTTATAGTTAAAATAAAGATAATTTATTAATGCATATATATTTATGTTTTCAAGTATGTATATGGCTTCACATTCAATATTATGAAATATATAGCATATTCTATTGATCACATATTTATCTAGGATAAAATCACAAATATTATGCATTAGATTAAATAAGCAAGAAAAGACTATATCACATGCTAAAGATAGTTTTCAATGAAGGGTTCTACACAAAGAAAACAAATGTAAGGTCTGTTATGGATAAATACTGAGGACAAATGAAAGGAAGGGTTCTTGAATTTTCCTTGTCTCCACCACTCCTCTTTTTTAACAATAGAACACTTTCCTCTTGGGCTCTATGTGACCATCTGTCTACTACAGGGTGACTGTGGGTGTTAAACTAGATGCTGCATCCTAGATAAAGAAAGCAGTGCGCTAACACATAACAGACGCTCAATCAACAACAGATATTTTTATTGTCCATGGGGGATAATATGAGAGTGGAGAGTTAGCTGCTGTAATAGTAACAGCTATAGTTACTAGTAGCATGGAAATGGAAGAAAAAAGGTAATCCCTGTGATAACCAGAAAAGATTTTCACTTTTAAATTTTAGTTATATTCTGCAAGTCTTTCTCAGCATGTTTATGAGCTAAAATTCCTTCACAAAGAGATAAACTAAATGTCTCCTTATAGATAGAACAAAGATTTAGTAAGTGAAAAATAATGTTAACGTTCCATTGGTAGATCAATCTGCTACTTTTCACAATTACTAACTTGCTTCTAAAAATAATCTCAAGTTTAAATTTAAACCCAACTTGTTTTTTTCCCATTATAGAAGGATACTTACTGCTCTAATTCCATAATCAAATCGACTATATAGATTGAGGCTTATTTTTTTATATAATTTAAGCATTTTTGTTGCCACATAGCAAAGAAGTTTGGTTTTATTCCCCCCAAAGGGACTTGCATTTGCCAAACCAAAGGCTTATAGCCTAACATTTAAGAATTGCTTAATAGAGCTGTTATTTAAAGATGTATGGATGTGTGAGAGGCATTGTTACTTAATTAGCATTTCCAAACTGGTCTAATTATCAGTCTGAGCTCACATTTCTTTCACAGACCTAGAGTCCTTTGCTTCTTAGGTCTGCACACAAATCTGTATTCTCTATGAGGGAAGGCTAGGGTTGTGCTTACTGTGACAACAAGAGATTGTGAAATTGATGCAGTACTAGCATAAAAGAATAAGAGTTAACAATTTCCACCGTGTTTAACTCATAAAATAGTTTACAGGATATGGTGGCTCTGTAAACTGTTTCCTGACAAAGTCCAGTACATCTGACCAGCCTGCTGTGGAAGCAAAGTACTTCATTTTCAGAGAATATGCTTGGGAGGGTAATACATTGGGGGTTATTTTATTCTATTTTGCATGTTAAGTACAAAACAGTTGGCTCTGAAGTTTTTTTCCATCACATTTTACTACCATACTAAACATCTTGTCTCGGGTAATACTATGCAATTCCCATTTCACTTTGCCCCTGGCTTCCTCCGCATCTATTTTGGCTGCACTCATGCATCTCCAGCGTTCAGAGATGAGGCCCCGGCAGTTCTAGTCAGGGAAGAGGAGCCCCGCCAGAGCCTATGGGAACCGAGGCCTCGGACACCCCCTACCTGCAAAGACCCACGTTATGGGCTGGAACCAGAACCCTGGGTGAAGTCTTCAAACGACAAAGGGTTCGGCGTGAAGTCTGGAGGAATCAGACAGACTTCCAGTCTGTTCTTCTGAACTGCATGGGCCCACTTACAGTGTATTCCTGAACAGCCTATCAGCAAAGGCATAGGAAGCAAGTCAGAGGACGGAGATTTTTTTTTTTTTAACGACATTTTTAGAGGTTGGGTTATAAAGAGAGTGTCCATTTAGATATTGTTTAAGGGCGGCATGGACTCCACAGCCCAGTGGTCCTGGCAAAGGTTATGAAGACAACGATAAGCGATGATAACCTGACTGCAAGTTAAATCATCCTGGCAGAGTTGTTGGAACAGAGGCGATCTGCCGAAGCAAGGGTGCGGCTCCACCTTCTCAGGGGCTGGGCATTGCAGGATGACCACCGGAGAGATCGATTGCTATCGCTCCCTATTTCCAGAGGCCCGGGCTGCTTTGAGGGGGTCCAGGAAGAGCTCCGCAGACCTCACCCTTGTCCCCACCGTCCCCGAACCCGCGGCAGGGAGGCCCCGGCGCCCGTAGGTGGCGCCCCGCGTCCGTACTTGCGCTCCTCGCCCGCCCGCGCTCAGGGCGCAGCTCGGAAACCCTGCGCGTCTCCCCAGGTCGCAGAGCTCAGAGCAGGCGTTTCAATAAGGAAGCGCGGGTGCCAGCGCGCGCCGGCAGGTCCGGAGGAGCAGACACGGAAACCCAGGCGGAGGCGCCTCTAATCCCCTCCCAGACCTGGCAGTTCCCACACTGGAGCTTCTGGAACCACAGCTTTTGCATCACTAAGATATTCCAAGATCTTTCTCTTCATCCCAGTCCTCATTTTTTTTTTCTTTTCTTTTTTTTTTTTCTTAAAGAAAACTGCTTTACGCATTAATTATGAAAGTGATCGCGCTATTCAGGATTAAGACTTGGAGGGGATTTGAAAAAGAAAAGCGACAATCGAAAAGAAGAGGAGCGACCGGCGCTTTGGAGGTTGCCTAATTGTTTGAAAGCGAGACATCTGGGAAGATTTCGCGCTGGGTGTTTGGGTGAGAGCGGGACCTGGGCGGTGCGGGGTCAGCGGGGTGCGGGGCGCAGGTGCCCAGCCCGGGAGGAGGCGGCGCGCGCGGGGCGGCGTGGAGGCGGGAGGAGCGGCCGGGACCGAGGGGGTCTGTGGAAAGAGGCAGCTGCGCGCAGCCGGGCGGTGCGTACAGGATGCGGGATGCCAGGCGGAGCGGACGCGGAACGTACCGGTGAGGAGCGCGAGGCGGTCGCGGGGTGGGGCGCGGCGCGGGACCCGCGGGTGCGGGGCGCCGGCCGATCCGGGGTGGGGCTCCGCGCGGGGCGCGGGCCGGCGCGGGAAAGCAGCGCGGCGCGGAGGGGCGGGGCGGTTACTGGCCGCGCGCGGGGAGAAGGGTCGCGCTCCGTGTCTCCTCCCGCCAGCTCCGGCTCGTCTTCTCCAAGCAGAACAACTTGGCGGACAGCGGGGCTCGCTCGTCATGGATGTTCCAGGTAACCCGACCTGCCCTCCGCGATCCGCGCGTTCACTGCATCCGTGAGTCCGTTTCCACGAGGACGGTCGCGGGTCTGCGGCTGGGCGGGGAGAGCCGGAGAGCTGCTGGAAACCGTCCTGTTCAGGGGCTGAGGAGGGAGGCTGCCCGTGGAGAAACAACTTGTCTCTTCTTAGAAAGATTGTTTGGACAGCCGGAGGAGTTGTTCGGCGGCTGTGGGCGGCGAGCGAGAGGTTTCTTCGCATTTTTTTTTTTTTTTTTTTTTTTTTTTTTTTTTTTTTTTTTTNCCCGGGAGCCTCCAGGGATGCTCGGGCCGGGGCGCCCGGCGTTTTTCGGGACCTGTTGTGCCAGTCGGGGAGGGGGTAGCAGTGCGAGGGACCCAGAGGGTGGCCTCCAGGGAGGGGCCCCGAGCGCCGCGGGGACTTGTCCCCGCACCTCCTTCCCACGCAGCTTCACCCCCCGTCTCGTGGTTTGGCTTCTCTGCCCTGACAGGTCCGCTGGCTCTCTCCTTCTAAGGACCACTCTGGCCTTGACCATCAGAGCCGGGGACCGAGGCCAGAGGAGGCTCCCCCCGGCCCGGCGCATTCGCGCGCGCCCTTCTGCTCTCCGCGCGCCCCCAGCCCGGATGTCAGCGCCCGACCCGGGCCCCCGGGGGCCGCCGCTGACCATGCCCGGGCGCCGGGGGGCGCTGCGCGAGCCTGCCGGCTGCGGCTCGGGCCTGGGGGCGGCGCTGGCCCTGCTGCTGCTGCTGCTGCCCGCCGGCTGCCCGGTGCGGGCGCAGAACGACACGGAGCCCATCGTGCTGGAGGGCAAGTGCCTGGTGGTGTGCGACTCCAGCCCGTCGGCGGACGGCGCCGTCACCTCCTCGCTGGGCATCTCGGTGCGCTCCGGCAGCGCCAAGGTGGCCTTCTCCGCCACGCGGAGCACAAACCACGAGCCGTCCGAGATGAGCAACCGCACCATGACCATCTACTTCGACCAGGTCAGCGCGCGGGCCTGCCCTCGCCTCCCGCCGGGCGCGCGGCTGGGTGGCCGGCTTCCCAGACGCGGAGCTCCAGGCTCTCCCCTCCCCTCTGCCCTGCCTTTCTCCCTTCTCCCTCGAGCTCTCCTTTTCACACTGTCGCTGCTCAATAACTCATCAGCTCGGTTGGCACTCGGATGACCGAGAGTCCTGTGGAGCCGGGCGTCCCGCTGAGCTAAGAGAGCCGATAGACATTTCCAAAGAGAAACCAGTTTTCGCTGGAGTTGGGGCCGTCCTTATGGGGGGTGGGCTCCTGTCCCCCTCGCTGGCCACTTAGAGACTGAGTGCATTTAAACTCTCCTCGCTAACCCCGGGGGGTTCTCCGAAGGTCTCAGCCCAGGCTCAGAGAAGAAGTACCTATTATTTATCTCAGAATGGATCCCAGAGAGGATGCTTAACTTCAAGAGAAATAAGTGGGGAAGAGTGTGGGAAAATAGCAGCCATGGTTGTTCAGAAACAGAAGGAAACAGAGTGTGGTTATATAAATGCAATATGTGGTAAATGCACTATATACAAGTAACATATAAATACAGCACGTCAATATCAAATATGGTGGGGTTATATAAAGAAAAACTGAAGAGCAATGAAGTTGCCTTAGCCACCCAACTCCCAGTCCCTTCAAAACAAAAGGGCCCCTGATGTGATCAGCACTTGGCAACCCCTTCTCTGGGTCACTGCTGCCCAGGATTTAGAGGTCCTCATCTTTCCCTCTCTCCCTACTTTGGTTTCTGTTGTTTTTCAGAAACAAACAGGAAACAGAGTGGGTTCCAAACTTAGCCTAATCATCCCATCATTTGGCCACAAGCCTCCCACCTGGAGCTCTGGCCTTACTGAGCACACTTGATTGAGTTCCTTTCTCTCTGTTAACTGGCTTTCGGACCTGGATGAACACCCAACTGCACAGACCAATGCCTTATTTTAGGCCAATGTCTTCATTTGCTTTAATCCTTGTTAAGGATTATGTATTTGAAATTTGGAGAGGTGTGTACAGGATGGGATGGGGGTGTCACTCTTTAATCTGTTTTTTTTTTTTTAATGAAACATGCATGTATTTATTTTAATTATGTCCAACTAAAGCAGGCAATGAATTAGTTTCCACCGTGGTTTTATAATACATCGTCCTTTCATTTGGATGTTAAGAAAACTTGGTGATGTACATGGGATAAGCAGTAGTAGGTTTTTCATTTTATAGATGAGCCAACTATGACAGGGCAGATGAAATGATGTCATGCACCAGTTAGGGAGGAACTGAAACCGGCTTTTCTGGGGCTGGTGGGTGTTCGTTCCTCTACAGCAGGGCCCTGAATTTACCAGTTCCCTGAATTAGATGTGGAGGTGAGAGAGTTGAGGTCATTGAGTTGGGAGCAGCACCAAGGGCTTGGAGGAGGAGGCTTGGCTCTTTGAGGCTTGTAAGGCAGTCGGGACACAGCCTCAGCGAGAGGAGGACTTGCATCTTGAAGCTCCCCGTCTTTAACAGCAGCGCCCGAGTGTCTCTGGGCCCTGCAGTCAAGGAGGGGCTCAAGTGTGCTCAGAGCTCCTTGAAGAAGTTGATGTGGCTCCTTTCACAGCCCCCCCAGCCTTCCCAGTGGCATGGCTCTGGGAGCCACGTGTGATCCATCTGTAATGAGTGTGTAGGAAATAACAGCCAAGGGTATGGTGCAAATTTGTTTTCTGAACAGACAGGGTCTCTAATCTAGGGTTCTGCTGTTGTTGTGGGCTGTGTGTTTTATAAACAGAACAGGAGGCGGGGCCATTTTATGATTTTAATTGGGTTGTGCATTTGTGGGTGAGGAGGGGTCCAGACAGGGAAGAACCTTCATCTCACAAGGAAATCTGTTCATAAAGGGGTATCCTCCGATCAAGTCACTCTCATCCATCTTTTATTGGAGAAATAGCATCTGGAGGGTCATGTGATTTCATATCTCATGGCTCATTTTGTCATTGTTCTTGCACTTTGTGGATTTGAGCTGAGGGTGTCAGGCTGCCTTTCTTTCCCCTCTCTGGGTGGTTACTGATGCTTCTGAGCGTTATGTCACAGCCCAGCGTAGGGACCAGACACCTCATGTGGAGGAAAGTGAGGGGAGAGGGGCACAGCCAGTGTTTGTGGGCTGTGGTCCTTCACCCAGCAGCATTTATTGAGCACCTACTGTGTGCTCAATAGGGGCAGTGCCTGGGGCTGGGAGACAAAACCTCACACCATCCCTTCCTTCCCAAAGCACACAGAGCTCATCCCAAGCTTTATCTGATGGAATTTAACTCTGGTAATGGGCCTTTGGGAGAAGGAAATGGCAACCCACTCCAGTATTCTTGCCTGGAGAATCCCATGGACGGAGAAGCCTGGTAGGCTACAGTCCACGTGGTTGCAAAGAGTAGGACAGGACTGAGCGACTTCACTAATGGACCTTTTACTTCACCACCCTTTCTCCTCCCACTCAGGACAGAGCTCTGTTTTTGTCCAGGCTTCTCATTCAGGTCCCCAGAATCCCACCAACCTCCGAACAGCCTCAGTTTACAGCTCATCTACCTACCAGACTGTCTTTTCTGTTATCTTTCTGCCCCACCCCCCAACAGCCACCATGTACATCCATTTTTTTTTCAACACACAAATATACTATACTCTCCAGAGAGAGAGCCTTCTGAAGTACCATCCATTAGAATCCTTTGGAAATCAATTCCTGCTGCAGGATGTTTAGCCGGGGGCTGCCTGCTTCCTGGGGGATGGGGGGTACTGGGTCGCTGAGCACGTGCTGCCGCAAGTCCTGCAGGTCTTAAAGGGACCACTGGGGGTGGTCTGGTGAGTCTGATGGAAACACACACTGAGGCGGGGCTTGCTATGTGTGTGCCCTATTCCCTCTTCTTTTCCAGGTCTTAGTAAACATTGGCAACCATTTTGATCTCGCCTCCAGTATATTTGTAGCCCCGAGAAAAGGGATTTATAGCTTCAGCTTCCACGTGGTCAAAGTGTACAACAGACAGACCATCCAGGTGGGTCACTTGGACAGCTGGACCCTCCTGGCTTTGGACAAATAGTCAGGCCCTCTGTGAGGTGGGGAGGGCCAGGGAAGGGGCTGGCCGGGTTCTGGGAACCAGCTCAGTGCTCTGGGTCAGCTCCCCCGACACGTGGCTCCGTGACCGGGTAGGGGGTGGGTGAGACGAGAAAAGCGGATGGGCGGGGGGGTCCGTTGCGGTCGGCTGAGCTCTGCCCTCTGCCTCGCAGGTCAGTCTAATGCAGAACGGCTACCCGGTGATCTCAGCGTTCGCAGGAGACCAAGATGTCACCAGAGAAGCTGCCAGCAACGGCGTCCTGCTGCTGATGGAGAGAGAGGATAAAGTCCACCTCAAACTGGAGAGGGGCAACCTTATGGGGGGCTGGAAGTACTCCACGTTCTCGGGCTTCTTGGTTTTCCCGCTATAAATGCAGAGCCTCCCCTGGACGGTGGGGACACGGCTGTCTGGACCCAGGAACCCACCCTTCCCAACCCCCCCAACTTGCTGGAACAGGACAACTTGTCTCCATCCTCCTCCCTCGGACTGTGGTGACAGAAGAGCGGCTTCCTTCGGAACCTCCAGCATTTTCTCTGAATATTGACCAGTCCTCGGCGACCCGGCCCCTAATGAATTTTAGACGACACGGTCTTAAGGAGAAATGAAGTGATCGATCGGAGCAATTTGTACCTGTGATTGTAAAGTCAATACGGGATTTCATTGTCGGGACCATTGACTTTTCCTCTGTTGTTTGTACGTGGTAGTGTTGACCCCGTGGGAGGGGCGCCGCGGACCCCGGGATGGATCGCAGGCTGCCGGCTGGGCTCAAAGCAAGAGCCCCGCCGCTCGCCGCCCACCCGACAGCCCTTGAAACGTGTTCTCTGCGTGTCTGTTCAGCCTTAAGAAAAAGAATGGCTTCACTTTCATGCTGTATTTCCCCCACCCCGGGTGGATGGGAGTCCTCGGGAGGGGGAAGGGGACATTGTATCAAGAAGTGCTTTATCCGGAGAAGCAAATTTTGCACGATTGGACTGCAGCTTTTGTTTTGTATTATTTGTCTATGTGTGTGTAGGTTCCACCCCCCCCACCCCAAGCTTTACTTTTCTTCACACACAGCTCCTCCTCCTCGCCCCTGCTTTTCTCTTCTGTGCCGGGGTGGGGAGAGAAAAATGTGTGTTGGATTTCTGGAGGAGACCAAACAACACAAAACAAAAAATAACTGTGTATTTTGGATGAGACCAAACCAAGCGAAAGGTAGAGCAAAGAGAAAATGACAGACGGACATTTCTGCTTATTCTTTAAAAGAGACTCTCTCAGAGGCACTTTTGGAAGTAACAACCTGGGTTTTTTTTTTTTTTTTCAATTTACATTTTGAACTACTTTTTTTAAGAGACGAATGTTGCTGGGTGGCCTGAATCATGTCAGAGGAGAACGGAAGCTGTGATGACCAAGTTCCCAATCACGTGGTCTCTTTGCCGAGCGCAACTGGGTCTTCCTGGCAGAGTGCTTTTGTCCTTTGGATCCACCTCTGGGTGAGCACACCAATCAGGTGCCTCAGAGTCAACGGGACCAACCAGGTCTTCCCCCTCAGGATCCTCTTCTGATCTGCCCAGGCAGAGGGTGTGGATGCTCCCCGGGAGCACCTGGCGGGGAAGCCGCATGAAAATCGCAGTGGTTGAAGGATATTGGCAGAGGCTCCCTAGAAGCAGTTTCCCAAATCCTCTTTGTTTGGCACCTGGTACAACAATATTATTTAAACACAGCTGAGAGTTGACGGGTGCAAGATTCCTCCGCCAAGGAAATGGCACTGATCCCAAAGCAATCAAAGAAGAGACCTCAAACCGGATGTTAATTTGTCCTTTGTGTAACAATGTAACCAAAATATTGATGATAAAAGTCATAATTTAAGATTCAGAATAAATGGGTTTGATGTCTGGCTTGCTCTCTCCCTCCAGCTCACCTGCCAACTCTCAAAATGTGTGTAAGGAAAGGCAAGGCTCAGGGGCGTGGGGAAATCAAACCCATACTGTTGACTCTTCAGAAAACACACAGAAGAACACACACAAACATATGTGTATCTTGCTGGGGTCCAGATGGATAGTGCATCCTTAAATATCTATTTTTCACCCAGAAACGTTTAGGGGGGAGGCATTAAGTGACAAGGGCTTCCCTGGTGGCTCAGATGGTAAAGAATCCGCCTGCAATGTGAGAGACCAGGGATTGATCCCTGGCTTGGGAAGATCCCCTGGAGAAGGGAATTGCAACCCACTCCAGTAGTATGGCCTGGAGAATTTCATGGATGGAGGAACCTGGCAGGTGACAGTCCATGGGGTTATAAAGAGTTGGTCACAACTGAGTTACTAATACTTTCAGTATCTAACAGTATTACATGAAAAAGACAGCATTAAAAAGATGTTATGGATATCAGTCTGCTTCTATCACATTAATCTTCAGTGTAGTACAAGGTCCAATCCAATATTTCATTCAGACAGCACAGATATACCAGAAAGTCATTTGAAGATTGCATCAGTTGTTTGTAAGATGTGGATGAGGGTGGGATTCATTTTCAAATAAGAAATGTAATGGGGACTTTATACATGAAAAAATACAGTTGGGCTAGCCTTAGCTGAAGAAAGAGTGTGTAACAGGATGCAGAATTTGATTTGAATAAAAATGCTGCTACATTGTGTAAGGGGAAAAAGCAACAAAAAACATCAACCAAAAAGCATTTGGGGTATTTTGGCTCTTTGAATAGAAGACATAATTCTGACCAGAGCATTGTTTATTAATGCTGGTAACATACACAGCAGGATGGTAGCGAAGATTTTCCTCTGTTTTCTTGCCCTCAGTTATTTAGTCCTCTTTCCCTCATTTCCTAACCTTCTGTTCAGTTTAAAACAAAGAGCAGACAGTCCTCAGTAGGAGACAGTGTAGCACATCAGAGACTGAAATATATGCAAGTAGCTGTTATTTTTATTGCTCACTAATTTGTAATAGACATTTCTTCATAGTTATAAATTTATTACAGGTTGTCATTTGGGTATACTGCCTAATAAATAAGTTATTAAATTGATCTATCTAAAAATAAGTATATTTCAGGAGTTGTTTTTATATTAGGAAGGAAAGCTTTGGTGTTGTGTTTTTTTGGTTTTTTTTTTTTTGAGATGGATGCCAAAAGGTGCATTAGGAAGAAGCCAGGACACTGGAGTTTCTGAAGTTGTTGATCATCCGCTGCTCCTGCCAAGTTTCTGTTTGGCTGAGGAATGTTGAGGGACATGAAGTTCCCGTGTATAGTCTACAAAAACATGTAGGTCAGATCAAAATTTGAAATGTATCTTTAATTGGAAAAAAGGGATGTCTATAATATTTGCAGCCTGATTTGAGCCGCCCCATCCCTGAGCTTGTTTTCTGATCTGTAGAGTTAAGTCATCACCCCTGCACCCTCTCCCCTTCCCCCAAGGTTATGTGAGGATCAGACAGAAATGTCAGAACCATAGGGGACCACGATAGAAAGAGGTATTAAGTCAGAGGGAGGGTGTTTCTTGTAAGTCAGATTTTCCAACATGCAATTTATGAAAAAGATATATAAAACAAACACCCAACAGGAGGACACTTGAATGTGAAAGTTTTCCATATTCTCAAGAGCCTTTTAAAATTACAGCACTATATAGAAGTCTAATTTGATTTTTAAAAAGGGTGACAATAGAAACATATTAAAATCTATACATTTTCATGTTAATTTCAGTTCTTAGTTACATTATTTTTCTTTTGTGGCTCAAGCCAACCTTTCTGTTCAAATACCTAGTCAATATTTTATACAAATATACAATTTAACATTTTAACACAAGTAAAAAATAAAGTTCCAATATTACAGCATTATAATAATAAGTTGCTCTAGTTGATAAATGATAAATGTTAATGCTACTAAACTATAAATGATTTTTAAGACAATACTATTTTTTAACTTAAAATATATTCTAGTTTGAAATAGAATCCTGAAGATTCAACTTTAGGTCCTGAGAAACTGTTTAATATCTGTACTTCCTTAGTCTTAGTTGCATTCTTATATTTTTGTAATATGTATTCATATATAATGAAATTATTTCCATTTTTAAAGGTTGTACTTACCGTAAGTGCCCAGAGTAAAAGTGATACAAACATTGACTATTGGCATGAAAGCTCATGGGATCCTGTAGATATTACATAGATTTACTTGTTTGGAGAAAAGTATTTTAAGCTAAATCTAGTTATTTCATGCATCAGAAGAGTTAGAAAACATACAAAGCAAACCAAATCTTTGACTGAATCCTTAATTTTGTTTGTAATTTTTCCTTGAAAATTACCTTATCAAGGAAATTGTTATCAATTCATACATGTAGTAACTATTATATGTATATGGTTTGCCTGTAAATACATGAACATATACAGCTGATATTTAGTATAGTGATATAAACTACATACATTGGCTACATTTTACTGGAATCTAGATATATGTGAGTGAAAATTTGATGAATCACTTTATACAAGCCAAACAAAAACATGGGTTGTTCCAGCATGCCTCGTGTACAAAAAGAGCTAAGAATGTTCTGTCAATTTGTGACTCCGTAATTTTGCAGTCTTTTATAAGGAAATAAATATTGCAATAAGATAATATTGCTGTAAATAAATAGTTAATATTATATTTCTACAGGGTAGGAAGCATATAACAATCTACTGCATAGATGCACTGGAATGAAAGGCTCTATTACCTTATATTTTAGGTGGTGTAAATAAATTATGGAACCCCTAGAAGCAAGTTACACTGAATCACTCTAAAGGTTTTACTGTGCACTCTGTGAAAACACTTGTTAAAAATGTGAAACTAGATTAACCATAGAAGTGTGATGAGTTTTTGCCCTTTTGCCTTGCTTATGTAGGAGTTAACTTGTCATTGGGACTTTATTTCTAAAGCTAGCACTTTGCTACTAAGATGGGATATTACACTAAAATTTAAGATCAGAGCCTATAAATTCTCATGAGATTCTTAAAATTAATTTTCTCGACATTTAAGGAGCAAGCACACCAAATATACTGAAGTGAGTTAAAATACAATTTCCACTTTGGTTTTATGGTTTTTCAATTTTTGAATCTTTTTTTTTTTTTGATTGATAACACTCTGAAGACATTAACGGATGATGGTCACATGTCACCTGTCGAATCTGTTTATGTACTTGCCTAGATTTTTAAAACACAGTTTTCACAGATTGATTTCACCAAAAGTATGTTTATTGCTTTGGCAAAAGGAGGGTGACAATTCACTCAATTTAGATATTTTAACAGTCTTATCTGTTACACAGCTGTCCCTGATGTGGTTGGTAAGATTCAGCCTTCACCTACCCCCTGAAAAAAAGAAAAGTACAGTCTTCTCACAATTCCTTTAAACCCAATGAATGTGATCTTTTGAAAAAATGGTATGTGTGTGTCTGTATAATAACATTATACCAGAACATGAATTCTAAGTAAATGAGCTTTCCTTCCATTTCCAAACCCAGTAGGGTAACTTGAAATTTGTAAGGGCAGAAGCCACGTGGTTTTACCTCCTACAGATAATAGGGGCTCTGTTTTATCTTCCTAAGTGGATTTTCCTGTGGGTTTCCATCACCAGAATCACTTCAGTGTCTACAGCATCATAAATCATCATCTTCATCAGCTCGCCCACATACACTCTTTGTGTAGGGTAAATGAGCTCCTTGACAACTTAATTTGGAAAAGAAATCGTCATTCCCTCTTCTTAATGCCTACAGCAGGACTCCCCAGGGTCAGAATGCTGCTTTGCACTGGCCTAATCCTAACAGGATGGAAGCTACTTATTAATGAGCCACTCCAGTCTTGCAACCTGACTAGCACTGCCTTAACATGGAATATTGTTCCTTCACATTCTTCAGGAATGCTGATTTCTAAATTCATTTTAGGTGGAAAAATTCCTTGTTGTTGAACGTTGGCATATTTGATTGCAGGATTCGAGTATTTTGTCTAAGTATTAGCTCATTCATTTGAAAATAATTATATCAATCATTTGAGCATCCCAGCTGGCTCAGATAGTAAAGAATCCACCTGTCAATTCAGGAGATCTGGGTTCAATCCCTGGGTGGGGAAGATGCCTTGGAGAAGGGAATGTCTACCCACTCCAGTATTCTTGCCTGGAGAATCCCATGGACAGGGGAGTCTGGCGGGCATTGGTTCATGGGGTCGCAAATAGTAGAACACGACAGAGTGACTAAGCACACGCGTATCAATCTGTTACTATTTCAAGTCCAGTGGGATACACAGCGTTCTCATATGTCCTACGCTTTGTATTATAAAGAGCTTTTATTGTGATTCTAGTGCATTGTTGTTAGAGAACTGATTCCAGAATAATGTCTACAGTATAACTAAATCAACTGAAAAATTTGGGCAAATTCTCCTTATTACTAAAAGTCCTCATTTGCCATATTTTTACATGGATCTTGAAGATTCCTACCAGTTTTAAAATTAGCATTAGAATTAATATTTATCTCTGAATCACTAACTTTTTCTTTCACAGTTATATAACTGGGACTTCCCTGATGGCGCAGCTGGTAAAGAATCTACCTGCAATGCAGGAGACCTGGGTTCGATCCCTAGGTCAGGAAGATCCCCTGGAGAAGGGAACGGCTACCCGCTCCACTATTCTGGCCTGGAGAATGCCATGGATTGTATAGTCCATGGGGTCACAAAGAGTTGGACACTATAGTCCTATATGATATAGTCATATAACTACTAGATCATAAAAATATCCTTCCAGAGAGAAGTTTATCACTGAACACAAATATAGTCATGACAATGTGATGCTGTCTTTTTTCATGTTGCCAAGCATGACAAGATGTCATAGCATAGTTTTATTCTGGAATTGTAAACTGTCAGTGGAAAAAGCAATTATA